TCGAACGATATTTCACTGCAAGGTAGTATCAGAAGTTTCAATGCAACTTCTCTATTTACAATTCATTGGCTTTCAAGGATAATGGTAAATAATATGTTATATAATCGATAACGTGCTGTTTTTGTAGCCTATGTAGCATATTTTCGGTAAATTATTTCCAATTCACGAGCTAGACTGGGACATCCTTAAATGTTAGGGCCAAGATACAGAACGATTAATATCTTAAAATTGCTTTTAACAAGTTACAAGTTAGAAATTTAATCTTCTAAATTCCTGAATGCCTGTTGTATGTCTTCATGTAATTGATCAAAATCCGACCTGATCTTTGCTTCGCCATCCTTAACAGGATCCTAAAAATTTAAAGCACATTTTTATAAGAAGGAAAAATAATGTTAAAGTTATATAGAGTTATAAGAAATCAGTCAGATTTATATTAACACAGAAGTATTGAAAGTTACCCACCTTGAACTTCATAGAGCTCAATTGATAAAGAATATTGCCCATACTGTCCCTAATGACATTCCACGTGATTTTATTATCCGATTGGGCCGTTGATTCGACCGCGTGTCTCGCCATATCGTAGAAAGCAATCATATTTCGTAACATCCCCACGGTTTTATAGAATGGACAAAAACGATCGTACGGCGAATAGCTATAGAAAAATTAAAAAAAAAATTAGAAAATTTTTTCGACCAATGTGTATTTAACTATTTACATAAAATTAAGATTTAAGAAAATATTAAGAAATGATATGCTGTACCTGTTTTGTTGCAAGAAATCGTCCTTTAGCAATTTTGCTACCTCGAGCGTGATTTTATCTGTTTCGGCGAGTGAAGCCTTGCCTACTAACTGAACGATTTCTGACAGGTCCTCTTCTTCTTGCAAGATTTCCTTCACTTTCGTTCTCAGCGGGACGAATTCCGGGAAGTTCTTATCATAGAAATCGTCCAATGCTCGCATATACTTGCTGTATGATATGAGCCAATTGATAGACGGGAAGTGTTT